CTTTTTTTTTTTTGGTACTGGGGATCGAACTCGGGCCCTTGCATTTTCGAGGCAGGTGTTGGAACCACTGAGCTAAATCCCCAGCCACCAATGATATTTTTATTATTCTGCAACACACTTTCCTCCCAGAAAATGTCTTAGAAACAAGAATATGCTATAGAATAAAGCACAATTGCCATGGTTGTACACATTTCATGCTTTGACCTAAAACTGGCCTGCCCTTCTCTTCATCTCCCCCTTGTGTTGTTCTTCTAATGGATTTCTTCAGAGAAGAAGAGGCAGGGTACTCAAATAGCGACTAATAAGACGTGAAAATCTTAACAGGAGAATCAGAATGTAACAGCAAAAGTCATCCTCCACGCCGCCTCTCTGACTGGGCATTCTTTGGCCACAAAAATTCACATTTTCCCTTGGAATAGAGATCTCACAAGTATGAGAGAGTTCTTCCTAGGTTCCCAGGCCAGACCAGGGCAGCCAAGTGACTCTGGGTGGGGAGGGAGGAGGTGCGGATGGCAAGGCCCTAAGTGTTGCTGCAGTCTTTGTGGGTGGTAAGCGCTGACTCCAATTTCTCTATTTTCCTATGAAAATACCAGTAAACAGCTCTGCAAATGAAAGGTCACTGGCTGCTCATTTCTCAGGAACACTTCCCAACTAAGAAAGTGAACATCAAATGGAGCTGTCAGGATTACCATCCACATATGGCAGCCCTGGGAAGATACCAGCAAAAGAAAAATTCTTTTCTACCCTCTGTTTCTGCCTCTCCTTCTGCTGGTGAGGTGATGCAATTCTTATCTGGAACTTGATAGGATGTAGAAAATAATTACAAATGAAAAGGTTATTCATAATTTTTAAATGAGTTAATTAGTAAACCCAGTCAGACTCACTCATTACAGTAATTAATAATTGATTATACTTGAAATTAAACACAATTTTTCATCAAAAATCTAATTAAATATCTGTGCTTTTGCCTGTTGATTAGATCAGTTGGTTTGCTAGAAAAGAGTCTTTGTTAAGGATATTTGTGCTTGGCTGAGACAATTAATTTGATTTTTAATAATTGATAGTTCCTTACAAGTCAGTCATCACAGCCTATAATTATGGCCAAGCAACAAGACGCTGGGTTCTTGCCCTCAGCAGCTAGTACAGACCAGGCACTAAGGCTGCCTCCTCAGGCCCTGGAAGGAAGGATGTATGGTTCCCACACCTGCCATGCGTTCACCTGCACCAGCTCACTGGAGCCTCACAGACATTCTCCCGTGGGAGCCGGCCAGGCTTATTTCCCAGAAGATCTGACTTAGCAGAGAGTTGCTTGAAGAAGAACAGCTGCACGTGGCAGAGCTGATTAGGGATCCAGGGCTGTTGGACACTGAAGCCAAGCACTTCTCCAACGCCCTGCTGCATGAGCAGTGACAAAGGGTGTGATCCTTAGGGTCCAGTCTTAAGGTTTCCAAACTGACAAAATTGCATCAGATGGATACATCTGTTCTTGGCCAGGATACATCATCAATGAGCTGACTTCTCCTAATCTGAGACTCAAGTTCTCCTTAATTGGCCCTCCATCTGCCCTCTCCTCTCCACTTCTGTGTTATCACTGTCTTAGTTGCAGCCATCAACTCTTTCTGACTCATTTACTGGAAGTCTCCTAACAGCTCTGCCTTCTGCTCCTTCCTTCTGCTGTACCCTTAACTTTCTGAAATAGTCTGACTATGTCCTACTACTGCCTACAACTTTCAGTGCCTCCCCAGCTGCCTACCCAATGAGGTGCTCAGCTTGGCACCAATCAATCTTCACAAGCTGACTAAACACTTCTACATGGGCTCCAATGGTGCACCTCAACCCCTTGGATGCTTCAAACAGAACATTTCTTCACCATGTGTTCCTCCTTCAAGTCTCTGTGAGCTAACTTGATTTGAAATACCCTTCCTGCATGCCTACTTCTGGCCAACTCCTACTTTCAGATTTAGTGTAAACATCACTTTCTTTTTTTTTTGTACCTGGGACTGAACTCGGGACCTTGCACTTGCGCAGCAGGTGCCGGAACCGCTGAGCTAAATCCCCGGCTGTAAACATCACTTTCTTAAGAAACCTTCCCCTGTCTTCCTGGCTGAGGTTGGGAATTTCCATAGCCCCTGAGATGCTATGAAAATCAGTCACTCATTTAGATTTAGATTTACCTGCTAACATGACCATCTCTTTTCTAAGCTACGAAAACCTCGAGGGTAGGGACCACATCTCTAACCTCAGCACTTAGCATACCCCCTGACTCAAAGGAAGTACTCCATATGGCTTGCTGATGAAAAATATGCTTTACAAAATTATTAAAGATTCAAAGACTGTCAAGGTTGGAAGGAAAATTAAAGGTCACTCAGTAAAAACCCTTAGTATCTGAATCCTATTCATGCTAAACTGTCAATGAGCTCTTTTGTATTCTTCTTAGGACAGGGAGCTCACTACTTTTCACAAATAGCCCCCATCGTTGGATAGATGAAGACCGACCACATATTCTTATTAAATGGGAGAGGAGGAAGCCCATAGGGTGGAAAATAGGAGTTTTTTTTAACCATATGAAGATTTGTTCTTTCTCCCTAAACTAGGCTACTTGGTATAAACCTCAATACTTCAATGCTAGATGAGTTGTTGTCTATATTCAATAAATGTCTTTGCTCTTAAAAACCGACAGTACCTGTCTAAAGGTCTACTCATTTAGGAAATACTATAATGCCAGGAAAAAGCAAGGGTTATGCCTGTGGTTGGTGGGTTTACAGCAGCGATATTGCCAGAAGAAATTTTCACCAGGTGATTGCTCATAAGTTTCACAACTCTTACCTGTAACCCAGTCTACATAAATGAGGTGGGTAGGCCAGTCCTCTCCTAGTTTGTCTGTTCCTCTTATCCAAGGATGGCAAATACTGGTAAGTGACCTATATGCTCCATTCCTGTGACCATGACAGGCATCACTAATCAATTGTAGAGACTCTCTTCTATTGCATCTGACTATAGCCTAAGGATCCTTTTCTACATAACTTTCTAAACAACAATGACCAATCAATTACATAGAGCTATGCAATTCTCTGAGCCTATATTCACAAGGAGAAAAGAGACTGGACCTATCAGGCAAAGCTTTTTGTAGCTTGAGACATAACTTTTCCCTATTTGCAGGACTACCTGATTACTTGTTTTGAAAAAAGTCAAGAATCTTGAGATGAAAGTAACAAATCCCTATCCATATTCAAAGCATTTGTCTATTTCCTGAACAAGAGGTGGCCCGTGCTCTGTTAAACATGCCTAGGGAGAACACTCACTCCCTCTCCAGACTGGCTCCCTCTTTCATTCACAATGACTTTTCTTGGTTGGCACAAAAGGGTTTCTGTTTTTGTTTTTGTTTTTTTGTACCCACACTGGGTAGCACTTTGCTTTGCTTTGGCTTCTGCCAGTTAGATCTACTACTTACTCGGTTATGCTTTAAAAAAAAAATCCCATTTGCTTACAGGATTATTTCTGAATTCCTTAGCAGGGATTCAAAGCCTTCTCTAGCTGGCCTGACCTACCTTAAGTCTTTGAATTACAGAACTTTAAGGTTGAGAAGGACACCAATGGCTAAGCCAAGCTCCCTTTGGATATCTTTATTAACCAGCTGCATATTCTAGAGGCTGCAGACTCTACACAATGAGCATACGTCTCTCCAGATTAATCATTTTCTTGGAGAAGACCCAAGACAGAGGTCAGAACTAGGAAACCAGATTATGTGAAAAATACATCAAATGAGTGCAGAGAGGGAGCCATCTGTTGGAGCAAGGCAGCGGGCCATGAGGAGGTTCTTATACCATATATGTGCCCTGGGATCAGGTAAGATGTCTCTGGGATTCCTTCAATAACTCTATTTGCTCATGGGGACCCACTGCTCTTCAGCTGGGATTCTCTGGTTTCCTGACCCCAGTTCAATTCCAGATTTTGGCTTCTGCAAAACCCTCAGACCGTCACCATCAGACATGCTTTCCTTACAGTCCCCTTCCAACCTCATGGCACTTCACCTCCTTTTTGCTTTTCACTGTAGCTAAATGGTGCCAATAGGAGAGGCCTGCTTACTGTCCGGTGTCTCCAACTTGTCATTTCATTTGTGGTAAATTCCATCAGTGACACTCATGGCACAGACCCCCCACCACAGAGATTAGTCTTATGGTATGCTTATGCCCCAGTGCCAGGCATCCAGCATATCCAAAGGCTGTAGCTTCCTTCTTGGGCTAAGTGCAGGGAGGAAGGAAGAGAGGCTCCAGACAGCTGCCCCTGATGGTTTGGGGTGTAGAACAGTTTAGCACCCCAGGGCTCCCTGGCTTATACAGCATACTGTGCCTGCTGTGCTAGAGAGGAGTCTTCAGTGCCCACAGGTGTCTTGGTAGCTGCCCTCTGGGCCAAAGGGAAGCCAAAGGGGGTTGGGGTGAGGGTACGCTTACCCACAAAGTATGCCAGCAGGATGATAAGCGTGGCCGAGATGATGATGGCACTCAGGGCTGCGCATTTCCAGTTGCAGTACTTGGAGGGCTTCTTGAGGTTAAAAGTCGGCCGGGCGAAGGTGCTGCGGGGCAGGGGCCGGGGTGGAGGTGAATACACGGTGCTAGATGTCAGGGGGTACCCTGGGGACGTGGTGCAGAAGAGTGGGGAGGTGCCTCCAGGCTTGAAAAGGAAGTGCCTGTGGATGGAGAGAGGCAGGAAGGGTCAGGACTGGCTGGCTGATCAGGTACCAGGACCAACCTGCAGGACAGAGGCAGGAGAAGAAGACGCATGCAAAGGAGCCTAGAGAGAGAGAGAGAGAGAGAAAGGGGGGGGAGGGGGGGGGGGAGAGAGAGAGAGAGAGAGGGTTAGTCACTACAGAGAAGACAGCAGGGAGAGCAAGAGGAAAGTCACAGACCAGACCACAAAACGGGGCACAAGGAGACATATTTCCACAGAACACGAATGGGACGGCCTTTCCCACAGGAGAACCCACCCAAGCCAAGGCAGATGCTGTCACCTCCTTGACAGAGGCTGGCCCTTGGTCCTTTTTATGGGAAAAGATGGGGCTGGTGGGTGTGTCTTAGGGAACTGTTTTTTGAAGTTATTACAGTGAGTTGGAAAGTGTCTAAAGTCAATCTGTCCCTTGGAGACAACTGGGACCTAACATTTTTCTTCTTCCTCCAATATCTGCATTACCAGTTTATCTTGGTTAAGGATTAGAATACTCTCGCTATTATTATTATTTGTTTTTTGAGACAGGGTCTCACTAAATAGCTCAGGTTAGCCCTGAACTTGTAATATTCCTGCCTTAGCCTCTCAAGTGCTGGGATTACAGGAGTGTGCCACAATATCCAGTTAGAATACCCTTCTTTTGAAAGGAGGCTTTGTTGGGATGGAAGTCAAGAAACCATCATAAGTTGTACCCATGGCCAAGAGTCCTTTTGTGGGTGCTACAACTGCCTGCAAAGCACTCTGCTCAGAAACCAGGCTACTTCTTTCCAAGAGCCAGGTGAGAGCTGGGTAGCAGGACAGCCAGGCAGCTGCATCCTACAGCCTAGTTGCAGACCTGAGGGCAGCAAGGACGATCAAAGCACATGGTTGTGGCCAAATCAGGTGTCAGGAAGTCCTCCACAGCTCGGCTATAACCATGGCCATGTGAGGACTTGCACAGAGCCTGGGAAATAGGGTGCATTGGCTGCACTGCATACTCCTGGAAGTCTTAGGGTAAACCCGACCCCCCCCCCATTGGGTACAGGATGATTCAGGCCATAGAATACACGCTCTGGGCCAGAATACATACGCAGCAGAGACTGCTGCATAAAAATTTCTACATGAGATGGTTTTCAGAATGGTGAAGGCAGCCAATGAGATGCTGAGAGCTGCATATTGACAAGACTGATGTTCATATGCTAGGGACAGGGTATTCCAAGGACAAATTGTTGCAAGTTGGACATGGACTTGGGGGATGGGCATGCAACATGGCATCACTTCCCCCAGGAGATCCCAGGAAAAGGTCTCAGGTTCTGCATGCAAGTGCAGGAGCCACAGGGACAGCACACTCAGAGAGGAGGAGCATGGGGAAGTCACCTACCCGTCACTGTAAGCCCCATCATGGCGGGAGGCGCTGAGAATGTCCATCTCAATGAGGTTGTCCTGCAATGTCCCTAGGAATGGCTGCTTGCTTAGGTTTCTACACACACATGGAGACATGAATGAAGCAATGAGTCATGCATCGATGAAGGGGGGATAGAGAGAAACAAACAAAGTGGCTGTTTGGTGCAGCTGTGCATGAGACCAGCGGGACACAGGCTCCAGGCAATGGGTCAGTGTACAAGCCACATGTGCAAGGGGTCTGCTTGGCACACAGCATCCAGAGGGAGCATTCTCTATACAAACCCGAATGTCTGGCAGATGTGTGCATTAAATCACAGCTCTCATTGAGGACTGACATGTGTCCAGCATTGAATTACGCATATTACATCCATTCGCTCAAATCTTCAAAATAGGCTACACAAGGAAGGCAGGATTATCCCTATTTTACAGATGATAAGACTGAAATATGGAGCAGTACCAGGATTTGCCAAGTAGGGCTCAAAGCAAAAGTTTGGGTTCAGGTTTATCTGGATCCACATTATGTTTTTTCTCCTCTACTTACTGCTTAAGCTGTAGCCAGAGATGGTCATTTGGCTTGTCTAAGAAAACAAGAAAGCCAAGCATTTTTGGCCATCATCTTCCAAAGCAGTTGTCCTCAACTCAGTTGAGTGAGCAACAGAACTGTCTGGAGAGATTCAGAACTAGTGGGTTGGGGATGGGCCTAAGAATCTGTATTTTTCTCTGGCCTCCAGGTTGATACTGAGTATGGTTGGAGTCTCCTGGCCTTTAGCTGTGTGGGGATCTGGGTGAAGACTGATTAGCAAGGATGGGACCCCACCAAAGACACAGGGGAACCTCTTTGTTCCCTGAGGGTAGCACAGCATTTTGTGACTTCAACTAAATCTAACCCAGAATGAAGACAGCCACACTTGCCCATTAAGTACTGAACCATGCCCGCTAAGTGCCGTCATGTGCACTCAGGTGACCTGGCTCCTATCTTCTGCTATTCCCAAGACTGCTACCATCCTATAAGACCCTGAAGTGGATAATCTCTAACAAGCTATTGGCCACTGGCCTGGTGCATGACCCTGAGGGAGGCTGACTGCAGGAAGCCAGCTTTGGTTCTCAGCCTGCCAGGGACTTTTCTTCTGACTCTGACAAGTCTTGAGAACACCTACCGACTCACATCCTTTTTGTCACCTTCTTGCATGTGACTTTGGGTAAAAAACTGAACCTCTCTTAACCTTACTTGCTTCTGGAAAATGGGGATTACAGTATTAAGCTCACCAGGTTACTGTGAGGATCAACTGGGACAATGTTGGATAAATTTTTAAGAGTTACACAAATAAGACAGAAGTGCTAATGTAAAACACAATAGCTCCCATCTACCCCATATTTGCCATCTATTATTTACTACTCTAGAAGCTCTGCAACTGTTTAGTTTAAAACTTATTCCTTAAAACCACCCTACAATGTCAGTACTGCCATTTCTACCTTGTAGGCTGGCAAAGCAAGGCCCTGAGGAATAACTTTTCTGAGGCTTTATCAGGCAGGAAAGACAGCAGAGCTGGCATGGAAACTTCAGCTTGTCGCCTTCTCTGCTTCAGAACCTGGCTTCATTCTGCACAGCCTGTGACTATCTCTCACTGGCCAGCCTCAAAGACCAAACCGCATTTTATTTAAATCCCTGGGGACAATGAAAGGAGAAGGGGACCCTGTCTACGGCTGGGACCATTAGGTACTAAGTGGTGGCAGGGCCTTCCTTCTGGGTGGGTCCTGGAACATAGCCTAGGCAGGAGGCTGTGTTTAGGGCCCTGAGCCCCCACAGTGTTGGGAGGAGGTGCAGGGGTGTGGTGATCAGAGAGACTTCATTTCTGTCTCTAGACAGGTAGCCCTGTAGATGAGAGGCCAGGTGGCCCAGTGGGAAGTGCACAGGCCCTGGGGCCAGATACATCTGAGTTCAGGTCCCAGATCCATCATTTACCTGCCCTTGGCAGGTGAGTCAATTACTCTGAGCATTCATAGAATGGGATAACTGGGCACCCTGAAGAACCTGAAGTGTAATTTGCATTACGTCACTTCTTTGCCCTCAACCCTCCCTCATCCTTAACAGGGCCCACAAGATCTTGTAAGATCTGGCTCCCCACCACTTCTCGAACCTCATTTGCCATACTACAGATATACTGGCCTCCTCGGTTTTTTTTCAAACAAGCTAAGCCTTTGCTTTCATCTGCCTGAATTGTCCTCTTGCAAATGTCTGCATGGATCATCTCCTTCTCACCCTGACTAGAAGAGCTCTCACCCCACTCTTTCCATCACTTTTGGGCCTCTTGCATTGGTTTAGCTTTCACACACACACACACACACAAACACACACAGAGTCAAGTCCTGTGGAGAAAAATAAGACAGCGAGGCAGGTCAGCAAGTGATGATGGGGAAGCAATAAACACATATGTTTATCTGCTCACTGTGTCTCTTCCTAATGCAATTCAAGTTCTACCAGCTGGGAGTCTTATCTGCCTTGTTCACTGCTTCATGCTGAGAGTCTTGCAGAATGCCTGCTGTGTAGTAGTGGGAACTAAATGTGTGCTGAATATTGCTGGATTCAGGATATATCAGGGAACCTCACCTAGAACAGAGGGGGTATATGGTCAGTCCTTAACTGAAGATGGCTGAGGGTGGTGTTTATTATTATTTCCTACACTACCCTACATTTCTAGAGGAATTTGCAACTCTCTATAGCTCATAGGGACCAGCAGTGAGCAGGCCCTACCTATTCTTGGCTGCAGAGTCCAGGGGAGAGTTCATGCTGCCTCCCTTGACCACCTGGGAGTTTGTTTTGCATCTCTAGGCTACCTCTGCTCCCAGATGGGCATCTCTGTACTTCAAAACCATAAATAAATAAACAAACAAACAAACTAACTAACTAACTCAGAGAAAAAAAGATACAAAGGATAAAGATCAAAATGTTAACAGTGGGGATCTTCAAGTACCTGGATTAAGTGATTTTTATTTTAACTTCTATAAGTTAAAAAGAAACAGTTTTTAAAAAGTGAGCTGACAATTATCTCCTAAAAGTATAGATTTGCTAGGATAAGGGAAGGGGTAACACTATAGAATAAAGGATTTCTTTAAAGCAACAGGATGTCAGATCTCCCACTCAGATGCTAATTGTTTAGGTCACTAGGGAATTTGGGGGAGGTGAGCACTTGTGCTGAAAAGGATTTTTAGAACATGTCTACGGTCTTAAAATGGCCTTATTCTGTACTTGTAAAGCTTAGTTTAGTTCTGGGTCAAATATTTTGCCTCATTTCATTGACAAAGAAATTGAGGCCCAGAGAGAGGTTTGCCCTGCTCCCGTACCCAACAGAAGTCAGTGGCAGAGCTGAAATTAACCCAGGGACTGTGATTCCCAGCTCAAGACTCCACTTAAATTTCCTCCCCCCTCTTTCCTCCCACATTCTGAGAGTCCAGTCCTCCTGACACAAGGATTTCTGTAAGGGTTTCTCCCCAGGAATCCTCAGCTGCTGAGGACACCTGGTCATGGCCTTCGGTGGTCTCTCCTCTCCCCACTGCTTGGAGATGAAATATGGACACCTGATTCATTTGACCCTCACAGCAATGGGTGTCATTACCTCATTTTGCAGACATGAAAACTGAGGCTCAGGTAGGTCAAATGATGGTCCAGGGTTATATGGCAAGGAAAAGTCAGGGAGAGAACTCAAATCAGATCTCCCTGACCTCAGAGTCCCAGCTGCATCTCAGGAAAGGGGTTACTGGGTTCTTAAGAGATGAACTGCAGCCAAGCACTGCACTGATCTTGGAGATTTTCACATAGGGAAGGGGACTAGTCCCAGAGCTGCCTGAAGCTAGGTCTTCCAGGCCCACCTGTGTGACCTTGGCAAGGGAGTACCCAGGAGCTGCAGGGGAGTGGGTCTTTGGGACTGCCCTGCTCAACAGCTCATCTCACAATAACCCTGCTATGCCAAGCCATGCTTCTGCCCATAGAGCCCAGGGATGGGCACCACCACATCTGATTCTCCCAACCACCTAGTGGGGCAGGACAGGCAGAGGTCACACTTCATTCGCTAGCTGAGATCCCAAGTGTGTAGGGGTCAGCGACCCTGCCAAGGACACTCAGGCATGGAGCTGGCATTTGAAGAAATGAATGAAGAAACAAATGAACCCAGTTTTCAGGCCACAGTGATCCCTCTAGAAGGCCAATCCCTTAATGCCTCTCTCCAATTTAAAAGCTGTTGAGAGCTACCCACCTCTGCCCTTGTGTCCACAGGGACAAGTGCAGCCTTTTCATGTGACTCAAGACCCTGCAATGCCCAGGTCCTTTCCTCTACTGCTCATGAATCTGTACCTGCTTCAACCCACTGTGTGCCATCTCTCTAAAATGCCATGTTCCCTCCTGGCTCTGTGCCTTTGCCCAACTGTCCTGCAGCTTAGAATTGCTTTCTCCCCTGAAAACTCCTACCAGCAGATGTCCCGAGAAGCTACTTTTAATAATGAGGAAGGTGGTATTGGACAGTGGTTGGGTACAACAGCTCCAGAGCCATCCAAACTGAGTATGCTAGTCCTACCAACTGCTTAGCTGTGGGATATTAACTTTTCTGTGATTTAGCTCCCTCATCTCTGAAATGGGGATGCTAAAAAGATTACCCAGTTATGCAGAACAGAGAGTAAAGATGCAGTCCCGACTGCTACGAGCATCTGCTTACCAGGCTGGCTCTTGGCTGGGATCTCTGAGCTTGGGTTTCAGAAGAGTGGGCACCATGAACTGACAGGAGTGGCTGACTCACTGTGGTTAAATTAACTGGGGAAATAGTGTGGTTTATGCTGAACACCTACTTGTCTTCTGGGAGTCCAGAATTTGGGTATGTACCAGGTAGAGGATACCCAGGTGACCATTCCCCAGTAAAAACCCTGGGCACAGAGTCTCTAGTGAGCTTCCATGATTGGCAGAATTTCTCATATTACCACAACCAGTTGGTTGGGGAGTTGAGTGTGCCTGTTCTGTGGGAATCCATCGAGTGAAGACGCTGAAACCCTGGGCCTGGTTTAAAGTCCTGGCCTTCTCCCTATGTACCT